TTTCGTTTGAAGACACAACACGTTGTAAAGCATAAATTATTAATGAAGTTTAAGGTGTGAAAAGGCTGGTTTGATCCCAAAATAGATTTCCTATCAAACTAAGCAAGTCAAATCGAGGAATAAAAGGCATAGAGAACAACAGTGGTTAAAAATAAAGTCCGTCGAATTAAAGTTACATTTTATTATGGACGTCGCAACTAAAAATTTAAAGACAGAATCCCTTTTCAAACAAAAATATATGCCAAGTTCAGACACCTGTACTTCACATATTTCGCTTTTCACACTTTCTTCGTATACCAATCAATTTTATTGTCTTCTCGGTAGCAAAAGGTGGCATTAACTTCTTGTATAAGTTAACGAGATCATCAAAGCAATAGAAAACCTTACCACTCTACTCTCTTATTCCGGAAAATACAAATTTCCCTCGTTAAAACAGTTGCTTTCGCAATTGCAAATGAACAATAGCTTCCAAGCGAAGGTTTCTCGCATATTTACCTCGGATGTGCAACAAAAACGTTTTGCTATCAACTGTATTTGATGCCCGGGATGACAGACTGAAGTTCGTTCACATTTTGACGAAGCAAGACGTATGTCAGATGACATAATTTCGAGACGCTGCAAAGCATTCGAGCGAAGAACAAGCCAGGGTATCTTGTTAAAATTAACGATCACCAAAGCAAAACTTGCTTTGAATTGCGTTTTTTTTAAATATATTGAATTATATCGAATTCTCTCCCAAGTTAAGTAGTCCAGCAAATTTAACACATCATTAGGTTTATTTGTAGTTTTTGTGGCCCCTTCATAAAAACTCCCAAGTGTTGTAAGACTCACATCAAGACAAAGGAAAGTTATCTCGCTAATTTCAGTTTCAGACTTTAAACTGCAAACCGTTTCTGCATTGCAGCGGCTCTTTGTTTCATCGTAACATTGCAGGTTCTTTTATGCCGGAGTCACTTCGCAAAAATATTTGAAGGCTAGTGAAATCGTAGGGCGTATCTGATACCAAAGAGGTTGTTATTATCCACTCAGATGGGATTTGAGGTTTAGAAATCACATACATTAATTCTTCTCTTAATAGTTGGCCTCCATTTTTAAAAATTTCGACTTAACCTTTAAAGAAAGATAACTGATTTCAGTTCATGTTTTCTTGATATACCCTTGGAAGTCCTTCATATATGACACAAAGTACAATCAACGAAAGCCTTTTCTGACCTGACTTGTCATTGTAAGTACCAACATTGTTTTCCCTTTGCCTTACCCTGCTACCCTCTTCAAGCCTTTCTAGAAAATAGAACTTCTTCTTGAAGTTCTTTCTGAATGCATTATACTTCAGTAACTCCACGGCACCTCCAACTGTAAGGCAAGCAGTCGTTTAAGCGACATTGGTATAAAAATCCTGCTCGCGACTTACAACCGTTGTTACGTTATGTGATGTTATTCTTCTCGAATGTGTTCAACACGAGTTTGCGAGCCCTAAGTATGATCCGAGTGGACGATTTAAAGAAGTTTGTATCGTGATTTCAGAGGCATCCCTACTTTTAAAAGATGAACTGAGCATCGAAGAAGGGTGTGATATGCTTGATACATTCTACGAGTACATGGCAGGCATGGCAGGAGTACCCTTGGTTTTAAAGGTATTTTTATTACCTGAATTATTCAGTTGAAATTCAATACAAGACTCTGAGAGGCGAGTATCTTTGACTGAAACGGCTATTATTCATAGCCTAAAAGAGTTGTTTTACATTCTTCGTGCGACAATCACAGGACATCGCGCTACTGATCGTTGTAAGTATGTAAAAACTTTTAACACTTAAGTCATACACCTGGTATTACCAAGTGAAACTGGCTTGGAGCGACTCAATAGCTATTGATGTTTACAATTCTTGAGAATTCAAGTTCAATCGAGGCACTCGGAAGAAGTTCATACAAAAGATTCAGTTTAGTTAGCTAGTTTCTGTTTAGTTACAGACAAGTAATACCTGGTTTACAGTTACTGCTCACGTTGTGAAATCTCTCCGGCTCAAAGACTAGTTGGTAGTAAGCAAAGATGGTGGATTTATCGTCCATAAAAAGTGGCAGTCGAACTTGATCTCGCCTATCGTTTAAACTCGAATAATATGACCGTTCTAGTCTCAAGCTTTCCAAGTGCTTTCAATTTATAAAATGCTTTCTTCCATACTTGAGAAAAGAACGACGAATGAGTTCCGCAATGTATGTAAGAAACTGTCGCGACTGTAGCAAGTCAAATAATCAGTGACAAAAAAAAAAAAAAACGCCATCTAAAGCAGTCGCTAATAAGACTCCTAATAAGACCTGAAAATCTTGGGTAAGCAAAATGAACTTAGCAATAATTCCACCGTTTCCAAGGTACGTCGCAAAAACGCATTGCGAAAACACTGACAGGAAATCAAAGGCAAATGTTCCCGATGTTTCTTAAATGTTTTGAAACACGACTTGAGCAGGGTTGGCTGTGTACTATTTGAGAGCTCGCTTTTAAAATGTCTTGAGCGAGAGACTGTTTTCAGCACGTGGTGCGGAAGAGCTTCTTAAGCAAAATCGACCTACCTGTAAGGATCAATATTTCATCTTCTAGTGAATACGATCAGTCTTCCATTAACACATCTTTGGGGGGTTCATGGAAAGTTTGAATGTCAATTACAGCAAGGTTTTCGTCCCTTATGTTAATCAACATCTCTACCAATACGAAAGGAAAACTCATATCCAAGCTTTAATGTTTTCAGTGGCCTGCTTCTCAACTTAGTAATGTTTGCTTCGCTAATTTGAATAAGTCGAATGAATATGAGAAGTAAATGTCACTCGCGTTTGACGTGGTAACCAAAACCCTTTTTGAAAAGAAAGGAAACTCGCAATGTTTGCGAATTGTCTTGTCTAGTTAACACGTAACGGTTCGGCGTCAAAACTGTTTCCGCGCGATCTCACGGAAAGCTGACGAACGTTTATCACCGGGTTGAGCTGATATCAAAGCTGACTGAGTGCGTTGATTGCGCGATACCACCTAAAAAAAGTAATGAAAATAGCGGAAATTTTTCCATTTATCGTGGAGTCACTTAAGATCCAGCTTTCACACCTTCACGCCTTTTTTCAAACACAACTGTTTGGAAGGGGAAATAGTTCAGGTACTTTAGAACTTTGAGGGAAATTGTTAATTCAGTTTATTGTTTAGCGATCAACTGAAGAAGGCGGTTTCTTTCGCTGAAAGGAGACAATCAGATCAATCTTTACTGGAAAAAGGGGCAAAACGGGGCGTTTTTGTGGGCTAAAATTGTCTTCTGCTAGCCACATAATTGACAGCATTGCGGCCAAGCAGATATGAACGAGAATTAAAATGAGGAACGTCAAATTATTATTTAAGGTTGCTCTCCTAGTTCTTGACAAGTTGTACCACAAACCTACTTAACTATTAAAATATTCGCCTAAGCGGCGACTAAAATAGCTGCCCCTGTAAACAAACTTTCCGGTAACTTGTGAAAAGTGCACGGCGCTTCCTTGCAATTTATGTACTGTTTACTTTGTACAACTGCTGAGCTAGAATAATTTAATCCATATAAAGGCCCAAGCTGTCACTTGGTGTGTGGTGATTATCCGGCAATGCAAACATCCGAAAGTTCTTTTCACACACAGAAAAATTTACATTCAGAGTTTACTTTTTCGGTTCTCTTTGAAATGTTGACAAGTTTGACTGGCTGTCAGTTTCGCCCACACTCGTGTCGTCCCGCCCTGTCAAAACCTACCTTGTGCTTGCCGCCTGACATGGCGTATTTACAGAGCTGAGCGTGTGTTTAATGCTAATTGCCAAGTTACTACAACAAACGAGTTTTATGGCTAGCGGCGCGTGGATAACGCTTCATCGCGCAAATATTCTATTGCTTTTTGAAGTAAGAGCGAATTTAACTACGTTTTTCTTTGAACTCAATTTCATTGATTGTTTAGTATGGCTCCGCCTTTCGGGAGAAATCACGAATTTCAACTAGTTTTTTGTCATAATGTTTCTGAATACGCAAATTGGCCAGACTCTCTCAAGCTATAGAATATTACATACAGGGGTTGTTGTTTATAGGAGATAATGTTTGTTGGACCAACTTGCCATTAAGTTTGAACTTTTGCAAAAATTCCGCTGTTTGAGACCCGATTAAATATACCACAGACAGAGTAATGTTATGAATGAAGCTGGTTTGAATCAACTGTGCTGAAACAGGCTGTACACCCCCCTAAAAAAAACCCACTTACCATAGTGAGAGAAATGCCGTCGATTTAGAGTTTTTCTGCAAAACGCGATGGAACGATTTTCACATCGAAGACTACCTAATACTACCGTATTCGTAAAAAATATTTGAGCACTCTTCAACCGTAGTTGGTAACCTCAACAAAAATATTGTCACAAAGAAACCATAACCTATAAGTTTCGTTTTCTTTAGTCTCGTGTTTCGGATTTAAAAATACAAGTTTTCAATAAACCATCGGTCGCTTTTTCTAGTGGTTATTGCTGCGGCACCATGTAGCTCGGCAAATACACCCACCCGTACGATTTATTAACATATGACCGTTATGCATGCTCGTGCAATGTTCGAATTTACTGCTTGCTGTGAATTATTTAATAGCTGGGAAAGATACAAGAAATGCTTGCCCTGCTTGCCCTTCTTGGTTTTACAGTTTAATAACTCCAGGGCATTTAATAACTCGAGGTAGATACGCAACGAGGAACATGCACCGAAGTGTCGAAACCCGACAAAGAAAACCAAATTGGGTGATGAATATTCAAGCGACACAATAGTGGATGTTGGCAGATTTTGGGCCCGCCTCATAAGGACATGAATGGCTGAGCTTCAGGGAACTGGAAGCGAAGATCCGGTGACTCTATTGACTCAATACGCTCAAAACTAGAAGCTGTGTTCAGTACACAAATCTTTTAGCACTCCGGAAAATCTGGCCTGACCGCAAGACATGAACACGGCGGCGTCCCCTGTATTAGGTACAGTGTTCTCCACTTTGTTGCCATTTGTACGTAAAGCTAAAATTATTCTCTGTGTTTACGATGTTTATGGTTTAATACAAAGATGAGTTTGGGATGGATTTATTCTTGCCGCCGTTTACGTGACCAGGAGAATTTAAATCAACGATCTTCCCCATAGGAAAACGCTACGCAATATCATCGTTTAAATAATTTGTGATCCAAGAGGTTTGGTTCTATGTTTGGGTTTATATCTAACCTACCAGAGTTTTGCCGGTTCCTTATATGCGAAAGCGAGTCATTTCAAACAGAAGTGGTTACTAATACCTAAATTGTTGGCGTTAAGAACTTTCTTTTACCAAGCGTAAACTTACATTCTGAAAGGAAAATATTTCAGGCTTACGAGTGGTGTTGACAACCAGTGGATCGGAACTCAGACAAATTTACCACCGAAGATGTCAGGGCAAGACGTGGAATTGGCACAATACGCCAACTTAATGAGTCCAATTTGTCAGTATGATTTCAGAGCACTGTTTCCGCGCATTGTTGATCAGCATATTTTGCCACCTTCCATTCGGCTGTACAAGAACTGACCGTACATTTATAAAGAGATCGACTTAACCTTTTATTCCCATACCCCTTTATAACAAGATAGTAATTAGTTTATGTCGTTAAACCGAAAACAAATGCTAAACTGCTGCGCTCTAGTGGTCAGGTTACTTCGCTAGGAAGGTTCACCGACTATTGGATCTCACTAAGAACCGAAAAATCGATGGGAAAACCAACTCTTACAAGGCCATGCAGAAATAGACAAAAGTCTATTTCGATCTAGTTCCCTCTGAGAAAATTCCACTCGCTGTTGTTTTATCACAACAGTCTGCAGATGTCCCCCAGTTTTTATTCATTTACAAGTCATCCATCGGCCATAGCTGTCAATTCTATGAAAACTCTTTCTCTTTGTTTATTTCAAAAACTGTGTTGATACAATATTCGAATAAGGAACGTATGTAGCTTGTTTCACGTAAAATGGAAAATCCGGCGTGAAATTTGCCCGCTCTATAGAGTCAATCGAGCAGATTGCAGCTCAAAAGTAAACAATTTATAACAGTGGCGAAATCTGTTTGAGGAGACGGCTTAAGTTTGTGGAGTTGAACCCATATACACCTGGCGATATTTTCTTCCTTTTCAAAATTTTCTCAAAACGTAAGAGAAAGTTATGAAAGGGCTGAGAAATCGTTGCAATAACCTGTTTTGATTGACACAGCCAGGATGGCGCACAGTTACCTCTGTGTGGGGGTCAGATAAAAATATTTCATACATGAAAACTACTTTGCAGTTAAAAGAAAAGAAAAACTTCGAATGTGGTTTTCTGTCAATACACGAAGTTGCGAATACTTAAGGACAAAGGAAGCTTTTTTATTTCATCTCTTTGGTGATGGGTATCAACGGTTTACAGCGCCGCCCCAAAGGGGCTACCGATTCGTTTGAAAGAAGACTACTTCAGAAGCGCACTCTCTAGATTAACATCTAGATACTTGCTGTTGGCAGAAAAGATTGAAGATACATAAAAATACTAGAATTAATCTCTTTAAATTTCGAAGAAAGAATGACTTTCAAGCCGCATATCTGTGGCTGAAGGAAGAATTTGTCTGTATTGAAAGAAAAGGAAGATGCCATATTAGCAGCCTTAGGGCACGTAAACAGATTTGCGCGCAGTAAATTGATTTAAACCTCAAGTTTCCCGAGGGAATATGTTTGTACATGCGGAACACATTCATTTACAGGCTTTACAGCTTATGGGAATCAGGATAACCCAGACAAGATCAGCTTGTAGGGAAAAATGCTTGCATACGTATTTTATTTGAAAACAACCTTAGATTACTGTTAGTTGACCTCAGAACACCTGTGATTTAGGCTAACTGTGCATTTAGTAAGACTTCAAGTAGAGAATATTCCAGAAATCCTAATTTTACCTGCATAAAGTCTTTATTATAACTCTACAAAAATTACGAAGCCTTGGGTTGACTTTTTCCATTGCTTAAGGTTTCGTTTTCGGACCCTTTATGAATTAGTCGAACCACAAGACAAGAATAAAATTAGACTGCATGCCCACATGCAATTTTAGAATTATCCTGAAGATAAGTTCGCTGAACGCAAAACGTGTTTTAAATAGCATTTTCGTTGCTCCCTTTGACCTCACGGCATATACCAAAGTTTGAACTGATGATCTTTACCTTTCCCGAGTAAGTGTAGGAAACCACAACATGGCACGAAAGACTAATTCGGACGAGAAGTACGTTGAAAACTTCTGACAGTGAGAAAACCAAGTACAATTTGACTTGAACTGGGGAAGACGAGAATTAAGTTGAATATGCGACACTAAGATGGACCAGATGTTTTAAATCTCAGAGACTGAAATTAAACGGAACTCTCTGCATGTTTACCTACCGTATTCAGCGGAAAACTTGCTCTGAGGCGTTCGTGCAAACAATTCGTTGGGTATATGTCATTAGAAATACTTCACAGCACCGTATTTTTCTATAGCTGAAAGCGAGGAAAGAATGGCAAAGAAATACCAGGGGACTGAATGCCAGAAACAACACCTAACGAAAGGAATATACTAGCTTTCCCTGGGAACACTTGATATGTGATGTGTAAATAAAACTGTATTACAAGAGGAAGCGTTGAAACTCAATACTACCAAGTCTTTCCTGCGACTCCCTCAGGTTAGCTGTACTTCTGTAGGATAGTGTAGCTGCGATGCTCTTTAAAAAAAATTGTTCATTTCCTTGGAATAAAACATCGGAATCGGAGCACATGTTACATGTATTTCACAACCAAAGTTTTACAAAATTGTTTTGACGCAAAATAGGCTATTTTTCTCTCCACTAAGGTCACCACAAAAGAACTATGTCACGCTCACTCATAAGTACTCGCTTAAACTAGAAAAATACACACTGATTCAATGCGACGACAGACTTTTGAAAATGAGCAACTTTGCCTCATCCTTCACAGCCACACGAGCAGCGACAAGCAGCTGCAAACGAAAGGAACCTTTTGAAAAATTTTAGCATAACATTACCCTTTGAGCTTGTTGACTTCCGACATCACAGAAAACAGCCTTCAACACTTCTTTGTGGGTTTGTGAGACTTTCAGGATCGTGTAACTTCTGCGCGACTATTTTTTCCTAAAATCTATTTATTTTACAGCAGCAACTGTTTGTGTAGTTCACTACAGTCAGCGGCGCACATTTTTAGCGATCCAGTTTTTTTTTCGGCAGGCGGGCGATAATCTTCCAAAAGCACACAATACATTTCTTGAATAAAATTTCTTGGACGCCGCGCAGCTTTCGCTGTTGCTAATTCTAGCCGTGCTATCTTTCATTCCTTTCTTTCCAGCCTCTGACTTAGCTACAAAACCGATTTTCAATAACAACAAGACGAGTGAAAGGCAAGTCACGACAAGCCGTATCTTCCGACACTAAACACAGGTATCACTTACACATATTGCCTGAAGCAGTGTGCAAACAAATGCGATTAGAATAGGTTAATAGTTATTTTATTTATTCAAGAAATATTACTGCTTTACAATGAGAGAGCATTTTTGCTAAGAAATTAGATTGACTCTGAGAATCAACGTGAAGAATGAGGTGTAGAAAAGCTATAACGCATTACTCCCACAAACATCTACCCACACTGTTTGGCGGCGACCCACTTAGTCACAACTCAGAAAACAGAGATGAAAGATCTGCCGCCAGGATCACACCTCTTGTTATTAAAGGCGTGAGTGTATAAGTGTGTATTTAACCGCAATGATTTGTTCTCTCAAGGAGATATACATGTATACTCTATTTGAAGGTAAAAGAATCTCATTTAGGGAATATTTGCATGCCTTTTTGGAAAATAAACGGCGAGGCTTTGGATGAGTGCAACACTATACCGTACAACGCGAACACCGATAAAATAGTTATCAGCAACGGAAAGGAGACAATAGGGTTGAACACTGATCGTTGGTTAACCTCTTGAGTATTATAAGATTAAAGTTACGTGGCGATCTATGACTGGAATGTATCAGAATACGAGACGAAAACGCATCGGTGTCGCGCTCAGAACATTTAAGGATGGTTCGTGTGTTGTCAATAATACATACCCAGCCATAGTATTAACCACTTTAGAAATGAATGGCTTGTAATTATAGCGATGAATATTACGAGAAGCCACTTAATTAGAGCCATTCACTTGACCGTCAAGCAACGACCGAGAGGTCTGTTTAGTCAGAGTCAAAATATAAAACCACTGCGTGATTCACAAAGAGCTTGTTGTTTTTATATTTCAATATTAATAGTGTGCAACGATCTCGCTTTTGAAAGCGTTTATACAACTTATATGGCAAGCGAACGAACAGGAAAGGAAACGTTTACAAAGACCCGGCAATCACATGTGACTTACAATGTGATTCTTGCTTAAACAAAAAATTGCGTTTAAGACAAAAAAAGGGTTTGTTAAGCTGAATAAGGGAATTTGATCTCGTCTATAGGCAGCAAACGGACAAACTTTTGGCGCGTTGAAGGCGCGCCTTCCACGCCGAAAAGAAAGCCACACGAGAGTAGAAAACAACGAGCTAAAATCAAAGAAACCGACAACATTGATCCGTGTCGAAGCAAAATGATCATTTTATGGAATAAATGCCACTGCGTACTCAAATAGATAAAGCCTGCACACCCAGGCCTTGTCCTTATCCCCGTCCCTGGTTTTGCAAGTGTATGGATAGGAGCCAATCCGTGTAATTAACCGATGAAATTGAAATTTGTGCCTCGATTGACCTAAAGCTTTGAGTTTTGTAGAGGTCTCCGCCGTATCTTCTGCGGTTCAATTGTCCGACTTGTAGAAAGAATAGCCTGAAAGCAAAGCCAATTGCCCATGAGATTTCACATTGTCTCGAAGCCGCCAAAGTATCTGCAATTGGCGGTATCGAATTTCAAAGGCGTTCTTTCTGTCGCGAAACCACTTGTGAGCGACAGCTCTACCTGTCAACATGCCGTCAATATAATCACAGCCGTGACACCCGAACTTAAGAAATAACGCAACTCCAATCAACACGAATAATTTTCCACTTAAAATTAATCTTCGTTGTTAGGTGCGCTTTTAATGGCAGCTTACCTGAACTATTCAAAGAAAGGATTGTAAAAACTCTCTGCGTGTGACCAAGTTGTTGTTTCTATCGTCTTCGACGCGTTTTCCAATTTTTGGTATTTTTTCCATGGTGAACAATTGGTGATATCTGCAGGTGGCGTGCGCGGATGTCATTCGGTTATTGCACGTGCGTTCTGAGCACAGTGGTTCAGTAGAAACTTCCTCTCCCCGGTTGTGATTGGACATTTAACATTTTTCCGGCAAAGCTTGAATCACTGAGAATATTTGTGCCTTCGCTTCGCCATTGAGGGAGGTATTATAATAGGCCATTGTAAACTAATTATTTCGATTCCTAGACCGATTAGGTAACCTCTGCTTTCAAATCTGGAATCTGTGATCTCCAGAGCGAGCTAGTTACGGCATAGAAGGTTGATCTACGAAGTCACCCTTTCAAATTGTCGTTGCGATGGTGCTATTTGCCTTTTAATGCACGTGTACACTGCAGATTGTTCGGTCCCGGTTGGTCACAGAACAATCAATCAAACTGTCACATGTCATTACGGACAAGACAATAAAAAAAGACGCTTGGCCGCCCTTTCTACCAATAGCTTAGTTGTTGAGGTGTCAAATCGATAGAGCAAGGCCTGCTTTCAAACGGAGCGGCCTGCCAGACAACACGACTGAATTTCTGATAATTCAGGTTCGCGCGCGAAATGTTTACCACGCTCGAGCAGTGTGGAATTCGGCTGCCTTGAGGAAATTAAGCTTGTGTTCCGATCGACCAAACAGGTGGAATGAAGGGAGCCCCTCGTACAGATTGTAGATAGTAAACTACAAAAGTAGAGAAGTCAATCGTATCACAGAAACAATTACACAAACAGCAATATTGTGGCGAGTTTGCAACTATTGACCAGCCTCACCAGGCTTAGAAATTCTGTGATAAAACATCTCGAAATACGAGTGCAAGGTAACCTCCGCAAAGACTCGGTCGAGTCGCAGTGACTTGAACGCGCATATCATCCCGATGACTATGGAAGATAGCTGCCACCGGAAGCGCCCCAAAATAATCGGTTAGTTCCATAGTAGAGGAAACGAATCAATTTTATAAGATGGTTGCTGCTAAGAGTTTGATTTTACAAAGTTGCTTTGCGATCTGTTAACAGGGAAAGCGAGCTGTGGGCAAAATGGTGGTCAGACTAGGAGAATGAGCGTGTGCACGGGCTGCCAGGAACCGATCGAGGACAGATTTGTGATGAAAGTAATGGACGAACCATGGCATGAAAGCTGTTTGCAGTGCTGTATATGTAGAAACACGTTATCACGATCATGCTTCAGCAAAGATAGGAAGCTCTACTGCAGGACAGACTACGAAAAGTAAGTAACTCTTCAAGCCTCACTTGGCGGTTGTGAATATTGTCGCGTTAGATGACGACCTCTCCATCCCCCTGTTCTCATTAAATATTTTTATAATTAACAATTTTTCTCCAAGTACCTAATACATTACCGAGCAAAAGGACTGTTGTTGATTTCAAGCTACTTGTAATTTATGAAATCAACAAAGCTTCCTCATCTGTCTTCGACCCAAAAGATTTGACGCGGGCGCTAGTCGCGTATTCAAGTCGCTACAGGCGATGCTTCTCAATAAATTTCTTTTAATGTGGTGATAATAATTTTTCTAAACGTCCCAGTTAAATATATCGAGGTATCAAATTTTCTGAAATGCTTCTCAACAAGTTACGGCGTTCGTTCACCAGTTGTCCGCCATGGCGATCATCCCGAAATTATATTTACATCACAGCTCTAAACATATACATGTTAACTATGCATCGGTTCCTTTGAACATCTAAAGCGTAAGGCCGCCTGCCGATCTTGGGAAATATGAATAATTATTGCGTTTTCTGACTTATTTCGCCTTTTAATGTGATTAACGTGTTGAAAAGCACAGAACGCAACTCGGATACTTTTAGCTCCTAATTTTCGCGCTCTCGTGTAGTAACGTGCGAAGTCACTACAAGCAAATGTATGCCTACAGGAAGTTCTTTTGAATGTGTTAATCAAACTTGGATCTTGAAATGATAGATGTCTTCCGTTATTCTTGTAGTACGCATACGTCTGCTTTTGGCATCATTTATGTTTTAAATATTTCAATGTGCGTCTGGGTTTTCAACAGTTGATTTTGTGGAGGTCTGGGTTTTTCTTTTTTTCGCGCGCTCGCGAGTTTCACTTGAGCTGTAGCCAGGTCTTCAGAACTTTTCCGTGATGATTCTTTTACCAGTCAATTTATTGTCAAAGCTCAGTGTGCTCGGACGTAGCGACTTTAAACGCTAACGAGACAAGTGGAAATGGACACGGAGAACAAAAAAATATATCTTCTTCTTAAGTTGTTTTCAATATTTTGCCGAGTCTTTTGATATAATCCGTGTTACTTTATTCTCAGAAAATAAAATTCCGAATGAAAGCAAGATTGCCTGAGCGGAAATTTGCCTCTTAGAGCACAATTAAGGCTCTTTTCATAGGACAGTAAAGTTGAGACAAATTACTAAGAAAGATTTCAATTTGGGTCGCTTTTGGTTACTTAGAACGATGCCTGAATGCTACATTTAAATCAGCTCACCGTGTATTACTCTACTGTTATATTAGTAGCCTGAAAAATGATTACTTATCATTACTTGAAAAGAGTACAACTTATCAGTATAAAGACATTTTTCATTTGTCTGAAAGGTTTTTGGTCCATTTGTCCGGAAGATTTGTTCCAAAAATCGGTTAGCGGCGAAGTTTTTATTTTTGTAATTGAATGTTTGCGTAAGGACGGATCTATTACCATTGTCAATCACACAAACCATTAAGTGTTCTAGGGCGAAGTGGTTCGTTCCAGGCCGTTGTTCGCTCTTCTATTTATCTCAGCATAATATTACTGGCTATGCTTTCAAAGACCGGTTTTTTTTTTTCGGCTGCGTTCTTTAAAATAAAACGATGTTGCCGTGGATATTGAAAACTTAAAACGGAGCCGCCTTATGAAGTATTTGTTTAGAATGTGTTAGCTACTGATTTACCTCAAGCGAGAAAATCAGAACGTGGATTTCTCTTTTTTATCGATTGCAATGAAGGATATATTCTTTACGAATACGCGTGTGAATATAAACTTTCAAGGAGCCGCAAACGACGGGAATTGTCGCGCGCAAAAGAGAAATCATACTTGTCAATGAAACACTTGTCTGGCTTGTGTGCATCGAGTATTCAACATCAAAGCGGCCATATATAATGAGCAAATGAAAACACCGTCGGATGTATTGAAGTTATCTGCCTTGCCAACCTTTCTACACGTTTTGTCCTTGAAGTAGGTGTTGAATCCTCCGGAAATATAGAATCGAAAAAAACTAGTATAATTATCGACTATAAGCTACGGCAAACACGGCTACATGTGTTCACTTGCTTTTCGAAAATCTTGTTGGTCTGTTCAAAAAAGCTTTGGCATAAACATCGGCGACTTCTTTGAAGCGCTTGAAACAGTGCTGTTTTATTTTATTCGATGTATAAGCAAATTATGTTGTTAAACTTCGATGTACGCGACAAAGAGGTACTGAGGAACAACGGAGATCCAAAGTGAAATCCTCCTAGTTAAGGGTGGAATAAAGTTTGAAATTCACGGACGCTACAAAATCTGATCAAAGAAAATGTGAATAATTCATTAGACCTTACACGACCTTTGCAAACACACCTAGCAGTTTATAGGTTATTCTTTTGTTATTTTCGTCTCTAAATTCAATGAATTTTTTCTTTTTGCTCGCGATAAATGTTCAGTCTTTTTTTGTGGACAGGACAAAAAATGTTTCGTTTGAATGTGAATAGGAAGGTTAAATTTTGTTTGAGCGACAAACTCAATCTACACAATGACAGATTTTTGACAATTTTGAAACACTCGAAAGCAGCTAAAAATAATTTTCAAACGACCTAAATTCTCAGTGAGAAATGGAAACAGCTAATCAGCTTACGACCGAAAAAGCCCTTCTTAGATTTAGTCAGCTTTAAGTACTTGAATTTGACAGTTGTCCCTAAAAAAAAAGGTTTACTCAGTGATAAGGAAATTTCTCGTTGGCAGACTCTTTCAGAGCCATAAAAGGCGAAGCTGAATTAGCGCTTAAAAGGATTGTCTTATTTTCGAAAACTTTGTTTTCGCTCTTCATAGTACAGGGCTATTTATCTTTCGGTTCTTCATCGCAAACGGTCTTATAATGAAATTAGTGATTTTTCTTCACTTTTAAAACGTGCCTCAGTTTAGGTGCGAGTTGTGTTACAAGTCAAGTCAATGGTTGTTTGACAGCCATGCTAAAATTTCTATTGGTTCCCTCTTGAAGCCGAATAGTTTATCCCGACAATTTTGTCGCTGGAGATTGCCTCTATCAAAATCTAACTAAAAAAATCAGCTTGGGTTTTCTAAATTGGAAAAGACGACGACTAGAATTGAATTTGGTCCGTTGCCTATTAAAGCGGTTGCGAATTTTCTACTCAAGAAAGTTGTTGTTTACTGAACAGAGAAACTTTGCGGAAAGGAAATATTTCACCCGCAGGATGTCAGTTAAGAGCACGTTTCATTATCAACTGCTGACTTTGAAGTTAGTAAATTTGTGTCGCGTGAGTCAGGGCTTCTATCCTTTTTTTGAAGTCTGCTAGACAAACATCGCAAGATTCCACGACAAAGTTGTTTTCACTGAGTAACCGATTAGTAAAGCGATTGACTGCAAAGACCGATTTATCGCTGAGGTCTGCACCTAACTTTATAGAGCCGTGTCTATGATATTTGACACAGAACGTTTTTGTTGCCCTTTCTTCGAGTTTCATGTAGACATTTATCTTCCAAACCGCTTCGGAATACAGACACGGCTCGAACACAACAATGCCTTACCCGGTGGCCAGAAATTTAAAACTGCTCCAGTTTTCTTAGGTTATCTTGGCAGCTGAGATATTCAACCTTCTTGGGTGTGAGTTACAGTGACCCTATGATAGAGCAAGGTTATCGCACGCTGTTTTTAACGCTAAAGATAGCTCTCAGTTTTGTAAAATTGAGAATCTATGTTACATACTAGACAAAGTATAGATATAAAGACTTCACGTGTAATAGAGTCGAGCCATGACGTCGTTAAAGAGTTGGAAAGAGATTTTACAATTAGATGCGTAGTTTTTGAAAGATTGCCGTATTCCTGAGTGGGTGGAATATAAAACTGACGGCCTAAATATAGTGATTTAAGTATACGTGCTTGAAAATGGAGTTTGGTTTCCGTGAATTGACAAGTTTTTCGCATCCATTTGTTTTGGTTTATAGATAAAACACACCTTGGAAGTTAAATAACCCAAGGTACTTGGCCTTCAAAGAATTGTTTAGTGATATACAACCAAGAGATAGCAGCAACCTTTTGTTTAGTCTTAAAATGCGATATTTTGTCTTCGATACTGATAGGATTTTAATGGAATGCATAGAAGAATCGATAAGTTGTTTTCAGCACTCGACATCCTGCCCAAATATACCAATGTTTTGAAATCGAATCTCTCTTTCGCGCAAACCGCATCTGAAGACCTTTGAATGAGTCGGACAAAAAACATTGCTTATCTGCTAATGTCTATGGGAGTTAAACGTGCAATGATTTTCACCTCCTGAGTATAATGCTAACAATAATGTTTAGATATCCGACAAGGTAGCGAAATTGTGGCGACAAGCAAACCAAAAATGTGACCTTGAACAACTCAATGCTGATAGCGGGAAAGTGATCTTTAAAGGAGCATTCTATTAATCGTTGTTGCTCTAAATAAGCTTTTTCACTTGAGAAAGAGCGTATTATTTATTGTTTCAACTATTCTCCAATTTGTTCGGCACTTGACTAATAATAGCTTCCCTGATGTTCAGCAACTATCCAAGCCGACCTTTGCATGTTTACGCAGGGACTTATCTAAGAGCTTTCATCTGTTTAAGTAAAATCTAGAAAGAGTTTTATATGGAGCAATTTCCGACAGGAAGGCCTGACACGAAAACACCAGTGCCAATTGTTTTCGTAATGCCGGGGAAAGATTAAATAAAACCGGCTGGACACAAACGTTAAGTATTTAGTGACACTGCTTAACTAAAGCAAGTTTAATGTTTTACGTGTGGCAGTCTTCAGATGTGAATTCATTTCGAATGTGTAATCAGCACACAATTTAAAGAGCATCTTTTCTCTATTTCCCTGAAACATCGAACTTCTTCATAAGACCACAGCGAGCTCACCACTAAAATTTTCAGGAGGCTAAATCAGTAGGGTTTATTTTGAGTAAAATGATTTCTTGTACAAGGCACACTCGTGAATATTGCGGCTCATCGCTTTGAGTGCAGAAAAAGAAGATCTGACATGTCGCGGTTTAATTTTTCCTCAAAATTTGAGCATTCACTTCTAAATAGAGTTTAGGAAGCCAAAGTAAATTTTGAATTATATGAAAGGTGTCGGTCACCAAGTTATCGACCGAGACGTGTACTTTATTTCTTTGAGGAATTTTTATCTTTTCTGCAAAACCCTATATCACAGGTTGGTGTGGCAGCTGAGTCAGTTCAGTGCCAAAGTAATGACCAAGTACGTAAAAAATCACCGAGGTAACTGATGAATCAATTGCTAGCCCAGAGTTTAAGGTATCAGATGATTCTTTAAACGAACAACTGGAACCTTATTAATTTGTTCTCCGGTGTTTCGCTCGTCTACAGATCTAAGGTCAATTCTGCAGTTCAAAATCTTAGATGCTTAGTCTTAGCTCAGATGTCCGACATGTTGGTGTTCCATTGATTTGCAATTCTGATGGAACTTGTCCTTGGAATGTTTTGATTCTTAGGCGTGACTAATGGAGGTTTTTGTTCCTTTCTCCAGCCCCCTTGTACATTAAAAATGATATAAAATTCTCACGGAAACGTTCGGTGTTAAAAATGAAACTCATCAAAGCTCTTGGTTTCAAACAGTTCAACCAAATTGTGGCATTTAAAAACATCATGAATATTTTACAACAGTTTACATAAAATCACGGAACATTTCACTGACTGTAGGTGGAAAATTTGGTAACAGTTTTCTTTAGCCTTGCCTTATGTTTTGAATTGAGTTAAGAGGAGGCGAGTAGCAACTTTGTAGACCTTTTGCTTTTATTCACGAAGAAGAGAAAACATTAGAAATACAATGTTTGCAATTAAAATTAATCAACGGAGTAGTCGCTTTTATCAGCTGACAAACCATGTCTAAAATTATTTAGAAGACGTTTCTTTTGATTTTATCTTATGGTGGCTCTGCTTATAAGGTTAACAGGAAACAGAACGTGTAACATTATTAGCATCCATAAACCCATGGTGGAAAAACATTAATTTATATCAGTTTATTTAAGAGTCAATATGTTGACAAAAAACAAAGGATCGAAAAGGTGATATGGGTCGCTTGTTTACTCAATTGCTGGTCCTTGCAACTCGCACGCGGTCACATCTAGTGACAAATTAGGACAAAAGAAGACTTACAGGCTAAATCCCTCACAAGTTAAGGAAAATATCGTAAGAGAATAAAACTCTCAAACTAGCACAAAACTGGCACAACTTAGGTAGAATGGTATATTTTCTCTCTCGAGTAACACCTATGTTGTTTGCTCTTCATGGCAGGTCTGTAAATACCAGGAAAATGAGATATTTAAACGCAAATAGACCAAGCTGGCAGTTGATATGATATCATAAGAGTTTGTTTAAGCAGCTGAGCATGGCTTAAATATTACTCATTATCTAAGTTTACCGAAACGTGGTCGGAGACAGGTTTGTTTTAAGTGAGACGTTAAACGGGGCCATATTATTTACATGCAAGGAATCGATAATTTGTACAGTGGCGAATTAGAGCTACGCTCGTTGGAGGGTTCATAAAGAAAGCTTAGATAGAAAACTTATAGATAGAAGAAAATAGCTGAAGAGAGAAAGGTCCACTTTCCTTATGCCTTCAAACCAACTTTAATTCTAATGACTCAGGGCGCACTTGTTTGTTTCTTTTCAAACCGTTTTTCTGGTGAGCATGAAGTGTATTTTCTTCAATGCTTTTTACGTTAGTACTGAACACTAAATCAACCTGTGTTGTTAGAATATGGTCCGGAAAAAAACCGTTCAACAAGTGGTGTCGGAGTTTTAATTTCGCATACAAAATAAGCAATTTATCTACAGAAAATCAAACCCTTATTATATTTTTTTATGGATCTTTGCATACCGGTCTCGTACGGTGAGGTGTGAATTTCAGCCTCGTGTTTCTGGTTTCAGTGGCCTAAAATCACTCCCCCCTAAATGAGGTGCTAGCCCATCGCAGGGTTACCTCCCAGGGTGGAGAGAGGTACAGAGAGTGATGTATGTGGAGTAATGTGGAGACAGCGTGGCCGAGTGGTTAGGGCGCCGGAGTTGAAATCCGGAGGTCACTGGTGCGAGTCCCGCTCTAACTACTAAGCTGAAGTTGATTCTCCGTGGACCCTAGTTCAACTCCTCAATCATGCTTAAAAATAGCCGACTGGTCTCCCTCCCGCCAGTTGAGAATGTTAAGCTTTTTATGTCTATTTGACATATTTTTTTCTTTCAGTTGAAGTGGCATGCCTGAGAACCAGCTAGATGTAGCTGAGCGCATTGACCACTATAAACATGCAACAACAACAACATCAGTCAATGCGAAACTTCAACATCCCTCCCCCACACTGCACGGCAATGAACATTTTGAACCTTCAGTTGGTCAATTGCTCATCCCCTGGCCAAAACTGATGTTCGAATGGCCCACCTTAGGGTCGCACTAGGTGATCAAATGTCCCTACCCTGTGGACACATACGGCAAAAATGAATAAAGGAAAAGAAAGAACGTTCCCTCGAACACCCACTGGGTCTTAAAAGTTGTTTGTATACCGTTAAAATATAAAAAGGATTAAATTTTCACGAGCAAAACTAATTAAAATTACCTTCAAACGCAACAGAAAGCTTTCCAAGGCTTTTTTCAGAACCACCACGTTATTTTTTGCCCTTTATGAATGGCAAAATTAAAACAAACAAACAAACGTGGATAGCAGTGGAGAATATCTACTAAGCAGCTATTCAATTTTGCTAATAACCGACCGAGTTGCCTGCTTTTCTTAGTGGTACAGCAGATACCTGCTGCAAATCTTTTACTCATTCCTTTTTCTCAAAGTAATGATTGGTTTTGTTTCTTTTTGTCACTCAGGATGTATGGAACAAAATGCAGTGGCTGCAAGACAACTATTCCAGCCAACGAGTTTGTGATGCGCGCATTAGGCAACGTCTATCATATACAATGCTTCGTTTGCACAATGTGTGGACACCGTCTCGAAAAAGGGCAAGAATTTGCTTTAAAAGATAACAAATTATATTGTAAAGACGACTATGGAAAACTTCCAAGTAAAGGCTCGTCGAGCAGCCCACCTCACAAGCAACAACAGGAAAGTAAGTCAACGTTTTTGAACGTCATGCTTCTATATATGTTTGTTGTTGGTTGTTTATTCGTGTAAGATGTGCAGTGGCTCTGCACAATAGCCCATTTCTGAGTTGCCTTAAGCCCCTCTATGAAAGCGAGGCCTGGTACACAACCATTCATATGAAAATGAGTTTAATTTGCGTGTGAATGAAATCTCATTTTCAAATGAAGGGATGGACACCAAGACTCGCTTTGAGAAAGGGCTAAAATTAATTCGGAAAAAGCCTTATTGAAAGGTTTGTGAGCTGTGGAGCACCGAACATCGAACGCATAGAAGAGGCTAGTCTCTAAACGTGCCGTTATATTGCCTTGCCCCTTTCAGGGCTTATTCCCCTACAAGCTCGTCCAGGCTTACTAACATCGAGTTTCTTTTTCTTTTTGCTTGCTTTGCAGACGTTATTAATAACAGTTTCAAAACTGAAAAAGAAACCAAAACGGAAAAAGGAGATAATTCAGATTCTGACGATTCATCAGTTATAGGTGATGATGAAAACGACGACAAGAAAGGTCCGAAAAGACCACGAACAATACTCACAAGTCAACAAAGAAAAATATTCAAGTCTGCCTTTGAAATTAGTTCTAAACCCTGCAGAAAGGTATAGTGCTTAGCTAGATAACTGATTTTACTGAATTCTAAACCCCGGATAATGCATTTCTAGCGTACTGATTGGTTCACTGAATCTCGGTTGCCAGCCATTGTACCTCTGTTCGACCGAATATGGAAAATGAATGCGGCAAGTGTCGCTTAACTTAAAGGTTTTCGCCGGTGGGGTGAAGAAAAGCTCTGTCCGGCGGAAAAAAATGGCTGAAAGCAGCACAATCGGTAAGCTTTCTATCACGAAAATACTGGAAATAATAGGCAATGACATTCCGAAATGTCATTCCGACATGTCATGATTAGCTCAACTACCTAAAATTTGATACGAAACATTTAATCTAAAGGGCTTGGGTAAATGTGAGTTAAAAGGCAAGGAAAAGCGAAAGAATGAAGAGGAAAAACAGACACCTCGTTACAGTTCAGTTAGTGAAAGCAATTAGGTCTTGTCAATCTATACTTCAGTGAACTCGATCGATTCTGAGCAACACAATCCGCAGTCAGCCGTGTAAACAAATTAACTCTTGCGTCATTGGACTTAAACAAGGCGTATCATTTTCAGCAATGCCATTTTTTCCGAGTCCTGTCGTAAACTTTTTGTAGCTTATCAAAATTTTCCAGAGCGTAGACAACTTTGGAGGTGATTACAGAGTATGGGAAGAAAATTTCGGAAGAAAACAACTGCCTCGCTCGCTCTCGTGACATGCTTCAACACCGCGCGACAAATTTTCCTGCCTTTTTTAACCATCGCTTCATTTAGATCAAGCTGAAATGTCCACATCGTCCAGTCGCTTGAAAAATTTTATACAACAATTATTTCATTCGCCCTTGTTGGATACGGGGTGAATATAATATCTTCAACCTGGGCCAATGGAATAATTGTAAGCATTTTGTTGGTGGGAAATCTCAGTTGTAAAGCTTTGTGGACACAGAGAGGGTAGGCATGCTGATTTATGATAATAATACTACTGACTTCCCAACTACTCAGACTTGTCCCTTTTGGCACGAGATCCAGAGCCCGGGAATTGGAACCCTTGACTGGATCAAAGTGTTGTGTCTTTGGAAAGGACACTTCACTTTCACAGTCCTTCTCCCCACCCAAGGGTATAGACCCCCATACATAGCTGTTGATGAAGTTAGTGAATTCTGGGGCCTACCTGTCAAAATATAGTTTAGCTAGCTAGCTTGTGGTGGACTAACATGTCATACAGAGATGGGTAGCAAATTCTCCACGGAGCAGCGTAGCAAATTTTCTGAGAGGAGGTCATCCTGAAACATTAGAACAAAACACCATGGAGCAAGAAGAGGAGTGGGTGATAGAAAAAAGCATAAATATTCTTCCTCTTTCCATCCATTCCAGATATTGTCATCATTAACATGGCTTTATTGTGTCTTTTTGCTCTCACTAAAAGGTTAGAGAAGAACTTTCAAGAGAAACAGGTCTTAGCGTTCGTGTTGTTCAAGTCTGGTTTCAAAATCAGAGAGCTAAGGTAACTATTTGTTTGCCAAGAGGTGTTTTTGCCGAAGTCATTCAAGGAATATTTGTGTACATTCGGGATCAGAACCATTGGCTTAGTTCATCAGATAATGTGTTACTGCGCGAATGGTTGTATAAGTAAATCAAGCGTTCAATAATTGAATTGTTATATTTCTGGACAGATAAAAAAACTCGCTAGAAGGAATAATCCTGAATCCGATGGGGCTGCAAGTTGTAGAGTTAGTAATCGACAAAGAAGTCTTAAGAAAAGTAAAGACGGAAAATGTAAGTATGCTTCCTACTTTCCTTACGATGCAATAATCCGGTAGAACCAACAAATGTTTCGTTTATCCGTGGGGCAAGATTCTTCAGTTTTTATTAACTCTAACTTGATAATAACTACATGTCATTTCTAAACTTTCATGGAATCCGAATCAAACATTTTCTCTGACTTTTTTCTAAAATTCTCCGTATTTAGATCTGTTTTCCTGCTCAACAGGGTTAATGATCCTTTCCTTCAAGCGGGGTCTTGAGTCTCACCTTCGGATATCGAATACTGTTCTATGAAATCAAATCACTCATATTTTTACATGGTCTTGTGGTAAAGAGACCTGTTTCACGTTTTTGAAATCGTGCCGAAATCGTGCTTTTAATGTGAATGGCGATGTTCCTTGTGATACCTTAACCCCTAAGCCTAAACCTAAGCCCCCTCGGGACCACTTGCAGTACATCTTTGTACGTTTCCCACTTTGTGAACCCAGAGTTTCTAATGAATGAGCGATTCAATCAAAAGTCAATCACGTGACGAGATCTTTTTTCTTTGGTTTAGCTTCAAGTCCGAGAGATAAACGGCGGGCTGACAGAGACAGCTTAGATCTGCCTCCGTCACTCTCCCCTCCCCCACAGCTTCCAGGATCTCAACCCCCTCCTTACGGAATGCTTCCACCTCAATACCAACATTTACAAAATCATATGGGACCAATGATGGGGCCGCCCCAGTTTCAACCTCCGTACCAAGGACCGCTTAATCACATGGACTCGGGTGAAATGCCTATGGAACACGGAATACAAGCCATCGATGAATGTTTGATGCGACAACAGCAGTTTAACCCGGGGGATATGGGCGGATACCCCACCGTTACAAGTCACAATGGTCAGAATCACTTAGAACTTATGCATGACATGATAAATTCATTTTAATTTATTATAATTAAGACGTAAAAAGTATCTTGTACAATGTTTCTCGTCGCAGACAATATATTAGATTATTATCGATGTTGCTATTCGCAAAAAGCTAGAATATGGGATTCATTTCGTTGTTATTTATTTTTGCTGATGCTAGTTTTTAATACATTCCCAGCAAATGTTGTTAAAAAACCGGCTGTGTACGCTTCTTTTTTTTTTTTGGAAAAACTTATTTTATGCCTCGTTCTGTTTACACACAAAAGCTGTTATTTAACATTAAACACATCATCACGTCTTGAACAACCTATGGGCAAAGTTGTCACAAAATGACTTAAAAGCAAGAAACTAAAGCTCGGTCAGAAATATAATCAAAGACTTTATTGCCAGTCGAATCACTAAGGCTGCTTAAATTTATCTGCAGACTTGGTCTGCATCAGATAACACGGAAAATTTTCCAATTCCCAATTTCCACCATGATACATTTTACATTGTTAAGGGTGCTAGGTAGGTGAATATCATCATATGAGATCGTTCATGACCCGGCATCGTAAATTCTTGATACTAACTTAAAAGAGAGAGAAATTCAGAGTTAAAGACTAAACGTGGCTAGTGCAGAGAGAATGAAAGGAGAAAGAGAAATTTAGCACGAGCTCTTCTCTGCATTCAGAATTTTTTTTTGTAACTTTGCCCGTAAGTTAATCATTGTGCTTTTATACAGCTCTGTAAGACCTTTTGATGCGTCAACCTCTTCGATGTTTGTAGTATGGCAAACACTGTGATTAAATTCTTAAAACAAGCGTCTAATATAATGAATTTCTGTTGTCAACTTCTTGTTAATCATAGTTTTCCAAGCCTTTTTTTTCTCTTTTTCATTCACATATTCGTTGCACACAAATGATGAAAAACAGCTAATCATTTTCACCGCAGATGCTCTCCACAGTGGAGATACTTGACACGGATTAAGCTTGAATAGCAGAAATATGCTTTCCGAAACGAGCGTACCAACATCAAACCCGTTTCACCGCATTCTGAGCAGTCTAAATGTCATCTAGACACGTCAAACTCGATAACAAGACGCGAAAACTGTCTATTATACTAACGAGAAACGTTTTGAATACTTTATCAAAACATACGGCTTTCAATCCGGATTGGTTGCCGTTAGCTTTCACTCTGGCTTACTTGCGGTTATTCACATCGTCTACAGGGAAAGGGGCTGATTCTCGTGGATAGTATCGAATGCTGACCTCGTTTCTAAAGCGTACTCTGTTGACAGTCCTCAATTAAAACTCTCCTGTAGAGAAATTATATACCTGTTCCTGTACCTTAACGTGACTAGGTGTCATAAATCAACATAAAGATGTCGAAAAACAAACGAAAAAGTTAATGAACGTTAGCGGTCTGGTGAGTGTCGCGTTCAGTTGGTTTCCATTTCAAGTTTCGTTTCTACGGACTCCACATTGAATCAGGAAAGAAGACAAAGAAGAAGAAGAAAAAAAAGAAAACTGCTTTTGCTTAGCCTTTGAAGAATTTTCTGATTTTGTAAGATACCTAGGACAAGGTTAGTTTTTTTCTAACAACCACATTTTTGTATTTGGCACACGCCCTGTTCTTTTATTGGATTTTTTCCATACTTATTACTTCATCAAGTTAAGAGTTTTTTCAGCATTTCAAATATATGACTTGAAGTTTTACATGTCAGACGGCTTTAATTTTCTTGCTGAAACAAAATGCCATAAGAACCAAATGAAAAAGGTGTTAGTTAGAAACTGTCATTAGTCAAAAACTGTACTGGTTACAGTAGGGTTTTCATTCCTGGGTATGTGTTTGTAAGCTTATAACAATGCCCCTTTAAGAGCAGGCCTCTTGTTTATTACTTCAATTTATGGAAGCAAAATTGTTGAATCTTGTTTTAGAGCTTGATAGTCGCCAGTTGGGTTGCATCGTTACCCGATCGTTATCGACGAGAGAAATGACTGAAGGAAAAGCAACACAATTCAACGAGCTCAACAGTCCGAAGGCAAATAGAAATACAATCTTTTTTTAATCTTTCGACATAGTTTGAAATCGAGTTCCTTCTGATAATTTAGAGTAAAGAGGGGAAAAAAGGTTTGGCGAGGCCATGAAATTAATGAAAACATTGCAACAAGTTTTGTTTGATGCAAGATTTGATATAAATATACTAGCTTATACTATATTTCAACTCCGTTCGACAGTTATGGTAACAAATAATTAGCATAATTCATTGAGTGCTACCCTAGTTTTTCGCAGGTATAAATACTGCTAGCGCACCACATGTCTCAGGTATAGAGTTGTAATTTTATATTCCATATTAAATTTCGCATGAAGCGAAACACACGGTTTTGTAATGATTTCCTTTCTCGGCCTGGCCTTTTTTCTGCTTTTTCTGACGCAGCTTATGTTTCTTTGCTTGTGATACAGTCAGATGTCCCACATCGAGGAGCATTTTTTTGCCTTTTTTACTTATTCAAAGTTGTTCTTTATTTAGCTCAGTAATAAAACAGAGGTCTGCTCAAAAACATCAGCCTAATATCAAAAAATTATTTTGTTACAGATTCTGACGATGCCGCAACACATTGGTACAACGTGTATTTATAGCAGTTTGCAGACCCTAGCATCAGTCTTAAACCTTTTCTGTACCGTGATCGATATATCAATTCTCCTATCTGGCCACAATACATTTCTTTTAATGTTTGTTGTAAGAATTTGGTGGTTCATCAACAAGTTGATGAATTTTTGTATTTTCATCACCTGTTTGCTTAACAATGTTTGTATATCGTTCAGAGAATTTCGATGTTTGTCACTGTTAGGAGTGTTTGTTGCATTTTTTCGCGACTGAAACTTAAAACTTGGAATGTAGAATTAATGAGGTCAAAAATCTTTGATGTGTTAATAATGTACTTTATATTTATTTACATCTCATTTTCAAAGAGTTCTTATCATAAGGGCGAAAGGAACCCTAGTCTTGAACAAGACATGGGTTCATATTAAATTAAACCGTGTGAAAGGGAAAGCTGTTAAGATGGAGGTTTACTGCAGAATAAATCTTCTATTCTCATAATTTAAGCGACATTGACCTCCTAGTTGTATAATAAATTATATTGATATAAGGTGTAAATAATATTCATTAAAGCAAGAAGGCAGCCTTGATTTCTTGCTCTCATTACTGTGTACAGAATAATCAGATTCTAAAATAAAAGAATTCAAAGTTATTCCTGAATGCTGTTCATTGTGTTGAATGGGGACTGAGGATATCTTGCACTAAAATACCACTGATCTGACCGCCGACGGAACACAAAAATGTGGTCGAATTATTCAATAAGAAACGTTAAAATTTAATATGACACTGGTACTTATCCCTTTAAATGATGTCATCAAAAATCCACGTCCAGTTTGCATAGCTAGAACTGAGCGATAAGAAGTGTGAGAAGTATTTCTACTCCTTCCCCCNCCATTTATACACCTGGGTTTAGAGAGGCACCGTGAGAACAAAGTTTGTTGCCCTAGAACAGAACACAGTGAACTCGGCCAGGGCTTGAACCTAGACCACACGATCCGGAGCTCAGCGCAAATACTACCATAGGTCAAATCGCCTCCCACAGATATCGTAACAGGTACATTCTGATTCTCACGCCGCATCAACCTCCTGTTTTGTAGTTCAAAACACAAATGACGGATTGTAACTAAACACAATTTGAACACCATGACTTCATATTTCCTTTCGTTAATCATACGTTCTAATTTCATCGTTTTATTTAAAGAGACGTTTTTAATAAATGGCATCAACAAGATTCTGCATGTGAGGTTTGTATGTATAATTTCGCCAGTGGATTAAATTTTTACGGAGACATTTTTTTGCGCGAACTTTTTTGCGGATCGTGGAAAATCCGTAAAAATTGCAAATATCAGAATCTGCAAAAACTTCGTGCCATACGGTGACGAGATGGCGAGGTGGCGAGGTGGCGAGGTGGCGAGGTGGCGAGGTGGCGAGGTGGCGAGGTGGCGAGGTGGCGAGGTGGCGAGGTGGCGAGGTGGCGAGGTGGCGAGGTGGCGAGGTGGCGAGGTGGCGAGGTGGCGAGGTGGCGAGGTGGCGAGGTGGCGAGGTGGCGAGGTGGCGAGGTGGCGAGGTGGCGAGGTGGCGAGGTGGCGAGGTGGCGAGGTGGCGAGGTGGCGAGGTGGCGAGGTGGCGAGGTGGCGAGGTGGCGAGGTGGCGAGGTGGCGAGGTGGCGAGGTGGCGAGGTGGCGAGGTGGCGAGGTGGCGAGGTGGCGAGGTGGCGAGGTGGCGAGGTGGCGAGGTGGCGAGGTGGCGAGGTGGCGAGGTGGCGAGGTGGCGAGGTGGCGAGGTGGCGAGGTGGCGAGGTGGCGAGGTGGCGAGGTGGCGAGGTGGCGAGGTGGCGAGGTGGCGAGGTGGCGAGGTGGCGAGGTGGCGAGGTGGCGAGGTGGCGAGGTGGCGAGGTGGCGAGGTGGCGAGGTGGCGAGGTGGCGAGGTGGCGAGGTGGCGAGGTGGCGAGGTGGCGAGGTGGCGAGGTGGCGAGGTGGCGAGGTGGCGAGGTGGCGAGGTGGCGAGGTGGCGAGGTGGCGAGGTGGCGAGGTGGCGAGGTGGCGAGGTGGCGAGGTGGCGAGGTGGCGAGGTGGCGAGGTGGCGAGGTGGCGAGGTGGCGAGGTGGCGAGGTGGCGAGGTGGCGAGGTGGCGAGGTGGCGAGGTGGCGAGGTGGCGAGGTGGCGAGGTGGCGAGGTGGCGAGGTGGCGAGGTGGCGAGGTGGCGAGGTGGCGAGGTGGCGAGGTGGCGAGGTGGCGAGGTGGCGAGGTGGCGAGGTGGCGAGGTGGCGAGGTGGCGAGGTGGCGAGGTGGCGAGGTGGCGAGGTGGCGAGGTGGCGAGGTGGCGAGGTGGCGAGGTGGCGAGGTGGCGAGGTGGCGAGGTGGCGAGGTGGCGAGGTGGCGAGGTGGCGAGGTGGCGAGGTGGCGAGGTGGCGAGGTGGCGAGGTGGCGAGGTGGCGAGGTGGCGAGGTGGCGAGGTGGCGAGGTGGCGAGGTGGCGAGGTGGCGAGGTGGCGAGGTGGCGAGGTGGCGAGGTGGCGAGGTGGCGAGGTGGCGAGGTGGCGAGGTGGCGAGGTGGCGAGGTGGCGAGGTGGCGAGGTGGCGAGGTGGCGAGGTGGCGAGGTGGCGAGGTGGCGAGGTGGCGAGGTGGCGAGGTGGCGAGGTGGCGAGGTGGCGAGGTGGCGAGGTGGCGAGGTGGCGAGGTGGCGAGGTGGCGAGGTGGCGAGGTGGCGAGGTGGCGAGGTGGCGAGGTGGCGAGGTGGCGAGGTGGCGAGGTGGCGAGGTGGCGAGGTGGCGAGGTGGCGAGGTGGCGAGGTGGCGAGGTGGCGAGGTGGCGAGGTGGCGAGGTGGCGAGGTGGCGAGGTGGCGAGGTGGCGAGGTGGCGAGGTGGCGAGGTGGCGAGGTGGCGAGGTGGCGAGGTGGCGAGGTGGCGAGGTGGCGAGGTGGCGAGGTGGCGAGGTGGCGAGGTGGCGAGGTGGCGAGGTGGCGAGGTGGCGAGGTGGCGAGGTGGCGAGGTGGCGAGGTGGCGAGGTGGCGAGGTGGCGAGGTGGCGAGGTGGCGAGGTGGCGAGGTGGCGAGGTGGCGAGGTGGCGAGGTGGCGAGGTGGCGAGGTGGCGAGGTGGCGAGGTGGCGAGGTGGCGAGGTGGCGAGGTGGCGAGGTGGCGAGGTGGCGAGGTGGCGAGGTGGCGAGGTGGCGAGGTGGCGAGGTGGCGAGGTGGCGAGGTGGCGAGGTGGCGAGGTGGCGAGGTGGCGAGGTGGCGAGGTGGCGAGGTGGCGAGGTGGCGAGGTGGCGAGGTGGCGAGGTGGCGAGGTGGCGAGGTGGCGAGGTGGCGAGGTGGCGAGGTGGCGAGGTGGCGAGGTGGCGAGGTGGCGAGGTGGCGAGGTGGCGAGGTGGCGAGGTGGCGAGGTGGCGAGGTGGCGAGGTGGCGAGGTGGCGAGGTGGCGAGGTGGCGAGGTGGCGAGGTGGCGAGGTGGCGAGGTGGCGAGGTGGCGAGGTGGCGAGGTGGCGAGGTGGCGAGGTGGCGAGGTGGCGAGGTGGCGAGGTGGCGAGGTGGCGAGGTGGCGAGGTGGCGAGGTGGCGAGGTGGCGAGGTGGCGAGGTGGCGAGGTGGCGAGGTGGCGAGGTGGCGAGGTGGCGAGGTGGCGAGGTGGCGAGGTGGCGAGGTGGCGAGGTGGCGAGGTGGCGAGGTGGCGAGGTGGCGAGGTGGCGAGGTGGCGAGGTGGCGAGGTGGCGAGGTGGCGAGGTGGCGAGGTGGCGAGGTGGCGAGGTGGCGAGGTGGCGAGGTGGCGAGGTGGCGAGGTGGCGAGGTGGCGAGGTGGCGAGGTGGCGAGGTGGCGAGGTGGCGAGGTGGCGAGGTGGCGAGGTGGCGAGGTGGCGAGGTGGCGAGGTGGCGAGGTGGCGAGGTGGCGAGGTGGCGAGGTGGCGAGGTGGCGAGGTGGCGAGGTGGCGAGGTGGCGAGGTGGCGAGGTGGCGAGGTGGCGAGGTGGCGAGGTGGCGAGGTGGCGAGGTGGCGAGGTGGCGAGGTGGCGAGGTGGCGAGGTGGCGAGGTGGCGAGGTGGCGAGGTGGCGAGGTGGCGAGGTGGCGAGGTGGCGAGGTGGCGAGGTGGCGAGGTGGCGAGGTGGCGAGGTGGCGAGGTGGCGAGGTGGCGAGGTGGCGAGGTGGCGAGGTGGCGAGGTGGCGAGGTGGCGAGGTGGCGAGGTGGCGAGGTGGCGAGGTGGCGAGGTGGCGAGGTGGCGAGGTGGCGAGGTGGCGAGGTGGCGAGGTGGCGAGGTGGCGAGGTGGCGAGGTGGCGAGGTGGCGAGGTGGCGAGGTGGCGAGGTGGCGAGGTGGCGAGGTGGCGAGGTGGCGAGGTGGCGAGGTGGCGAGGTGGCGAGGTGGCGAGGTGGCGAGGTGGCGAGGTGGCGAGGTGGCGAGGTGGCGAGGTGGCGAGGTGGCGAGGTGGCGAGGTGGCGAGGTGGCGAGGTGGCGAGGTGGCGAGGTGGCGAGGTGGCGAGGTGGCGAGGTGGCGAGGTGGCGAGGTGGCGAGGTGGCGAGGTGGCGAGGTGGCGAGGTGGCGAGGTGGCGAGGTGGCGAGGTGGCGAGGTGGCGAGGTGGCGAGGTGGCGAGGTGGCGAGGTGGCGAGGTGGCGAGGTGGCGAGGTGGCGAGGTGGCGAGGTGGCGAGGTGGCGAGGTGGCGAGGTGGCGAGGTGGCGAGGTGGCGAGGTGGCGAGGTGGCGAGGTGGCGAGGTGGCGAGGTGGCGAGGTGGCGAGGTGGCGAGGTGGCGAGGTGGCGAGGTGGCGAGGTGGCGAGGTGGCGAGGTGGCGAGGTGGCGAGGTGGCGAGGTGGCGAGGTGGCGAGGTGGCGAGGTGGCGAGGTGGCGAGGTGGCGAGGTGGCGAGGTGGCGAGGTGGCGAGGTGGCGAGGTGGCGAGGTGGCGAGGTGGCGAGGTGGCGAGGTGGCGAGGTGGCGAGGTGGCGAGGTGGCGAGGTGGCGAGGTGGCGAGGTGGCGAGGTGGCGAGGTGGCGAGGTGGCGAGGTGGCGAGGTGGCGAGGTGGCGAGGTGGCGAGGTGGCGAGGTGGCGAGGTGGCGAGGTGGCGAGGTGGCGAGGTGGCGAGGTGGCGAGGTGGCGAGGTGGCGAGGTGGCGAGGTGGCGAGGTGGCGAGGTGGCGAGGTGGCGAGGTGGCGAGGTGGCGAGGTGGCGAGGTGGCGAGGTGGCGAGGTGGCGAGGTGGCGAGGTGGCGAGGTGGCGAGGTGGCGAGGTGGCGAGGTGGCGAGGTGGCGAGGTGGCGAGGTGGCGAGGTGGCGAGGTGGCGAGGTGGCGAGGTGGCGAGGTGGCGAGGTGGCGAGGTGGCGAGGTGGCGAGGTGGCGAGGTGGCGAGGTGGCGAGGTGGCGAGGTGGCGAGGTGGCGAGGTGGCGAGGTGGCGAGGTGGCGAGGTGGCGAGGTGGCGAGGTGGCGAGGTGGCGAGGTGGCGAGGTGGCGAGGTGGCGAGGTGGCGAGGTGGCGAGGTGGCGAGGTGGCGAGGTGGCGAGGTGGCGAGGTGGCGAGGTGGCGAGGTGGCGAGGTGGCGAGGTGGCGAGGTGGCGAGGTGGCGAGGTGGCGAGGTGGCGAGGTGGCGAGGTGGCGAGGTGGCGAGGTGGCGAGGTGGCGAGGTGGCGAGGTGGCGAGGTGGCGAGGTGGCGAGGTGGCGAGGTGGCGAGGTGGCGAGGTGGCGAGGTGGCGAGGTGGCGAGGTGGCGAGGTGGCGAGGTGGCGAGGTGGCGAGGTGGCGAGGTGGCGAGGTGGCGAGGTGGCGAGGTGGCGAGGTGGCGAGGTGGCGAGGTGGCGAGGTGGCGAGGTGGCGAGGTGGCGAGGTGGCGAGGTGGCGAGGTGGCGAGGTGGCGAGGTGGCGAGGTGGCGAGGTGGCGAGGTGGCGAGGTGGCGAGGTGGCGAGGTGGCGAGGTGGCGAGGTGGCGAGGTGGCGAGGTGGCGAGGTGGCGAGGTGGCGAGGTGGCGAGGTGGCGAGGTGGCGAGGTGGCGAGGTGGCGAGGTGGCGAGGTGGCGAGGTGGCGAGGTGGCGAGGTGGCGAGGTGGCGAGGTGGCGAGGTGGCGAGGTGGCGAGGTGGCGAGGTGGCGAGGTGGCGAGGTGGCGAGGTGGCGAGGTGGCGAGGTGGCGAGGTGGCGAGGTGGCGAGGTGGCGAGGTGGCGAGGTGGCGAGGTGGCGAGGTGGCGAGGTGGCGAGGTGGCGAGGTGGCGAGGTGGCGAGGTGGCGAGGTGGCGAGGTGGCGAGGTGGCGAGGTGGCGAGGTGGCGAGGTGGCGAGGTGGCGAGGTGGCGAGGTGGCGAGGTGGCGAGGTGGCGAGGTGGCGAGGTGGCGAGGTGGCGAGGTGGCGAGGTGGCGAGGTGGCGAGGTGGCGAGGTGGCGAGGTGGCGAGGTGGCGAGGTGGCGAGGTGGCGAGGTGGCGAGGTGGCGAGGTGGCGAGGTGGCGAGGTGGCGAGGTGGCGAGGTGGCGAGGTGGCGAGGTGGCGAGGTGGCGAGGTGGCGAGGTGGCGAGGTGGCGAGGTGGCGAGGTGGCGAGGTGGCGAGGTGGCGAGGTGGCGAGGTGGCGAGGTGGCGAGGTGGCGAGGTGGCGAGGTGGCGAGGTGGCGAGGTGGCGAGGTGGCGAGGTGGCGAGGTGGCGAGGTGGCGAGGTGGCGAGGTGGCGAGGTGGCGAGGTGGCGAGGTGGCGAGGTGGCGAGGTGGCGAGGTGGCGAGGTGGCGAGGTGGCGAGGTGGCGAGGTGGCGAGGTGGCGAGGTGGCGAGGTGGCGAGGTGGCGAGGTGGCGAGGTGGCGAGGTGGCGAGGTGGCGAGGTGGCGAGGTGGCGAGGTGGCGAGGTGGCGAGGTGGCGAGGTGGCGAGGTGGCGAGGTGGCGAGGTGGCGAGGTGGCGAGGTGGCGAGGTGGCGAGGTGGCGAGGTGGCGAGGTGGCGAGGTGGCGAGGTGGCGAGGTGGCGAGGTGGCGAGGTGGCGAGGTGGCGAGGTGGCGAGGTGGCGAGGTGGCGAGGTGGCGAGGTGGCGAGGTGGCGAGGTGGCGAGGTGGCGAGGTGGCGAGGTGGCGAGGTGGCGAGGTGGCGAGGTGGCGAGGTGGCGAGGTGGCGAGGTGGCGAGGTGGCGAGGTGGCGAGGTGGCGAGGTGGCGAGGTGGCGAGGTGGCGAGGTGGCGAGGTGGCGAGGTGGCGAGGTGGCGAGGTGGCGAGGTGGCGAGGTGGCGAGGTGGCGAGGTGGCGAGGTGGCGAGGTGGCGAGGTGGCGAGGTGGCGAGGTGGCGAGGTGGCGAGGTGGCGAGGTGGCGAGGTGGCGAGGTGGCGAGGTGGCGAGGTGGCGAGGTGGCGAGGTGGCGAGGTGGCGAGGTGGCGAGGTGGCGAGGTGGCGAGGTGGCGAGGTGGCGAGGTGGCGAGGTGGCGAGGTGGCGAGGTGGCGAGGTGGCGAGGTGGCGAGGTGGCGAGGTGGCGAGGTGGCGAGGTGGCGAGGTGGCGAGGTGGCGAGGTGGCGAGGTGGCGAGGTGGCGAGGTGGCGAGGTGGCGAGGTGGCGAGGTGGCGAGGTGGCGAGGTGGCGAGGTGGCGAGGTGGCGAGGTGGCGAGGTGGCGAGGTGGCGAGGTGGCGAGGTGGCGAGGTGGCGAGGTGGCGAGGTGGCGAGGTGGCGAGGTGGCGAGGTGGCGAGGTGGCGAGGTGGCGAGGTGGCGAGGTGGCGAGGTGGCGAGGTGGCGAGGTGGCGAGGTGGCGAGGTGGCGAGGTGGCGAGGTGGCGAGGTGGCGAGGTGGCGAGGTGGCGAGGTGGCGAGGTGGCGAGGTGGCGAGGTGGCGAGGTGGCGAGGTGGCGAGGTGGCGAGGTGGCGAGGTGGCGAGGTGGCGAGGTGGCGAGGTGGCGAGGTGGCGAGGTGGCGAGGTGGCGAGGTGGCGAGGTGGCGAGGTGGCGAGGTGGCGAGGTGGCGAGGTGGCGAGGTGGCGAGGTGGCGAGGTGGCGAGGTGGCGAGGTGGCGAGGTGGCGAGGTGGCGAGGTGGCGAGGTGGCGAGGTGGCGAGGTGGCGAGGTGGCGAGGTGGCGAGGTGGCGAGGTGGCGAGGTGGCGAGGTGGCGAGGTGGCGAGGTGGCGAGGTGGCGAGGTGGCGAGGTGGCGAGGTGGCGAGGTGGCGAGGTGGCGAGGTGGCGAGGTGGCGAGGTGGCGAGGTGGCGAGGTGGCGAGGTGGCGAGGTGGCGAGGTGGCGAGGTGGCGAGGTGGCGAGGTGGCGAGGTGGCGAGGTGGCGAGGTGGCGAGGTGGCGAGGTGGCGAGGTGGCGAGGTGGCGAGGTGGCGAGGTGGCGAGGTGGCGAGGTGGCGAGGTGGCGAGGTGGCGAGGTGGCGAGGTGGCGAGGTGGCGAGGTGGCGAGGTGGCGAGGTGGCGAGGTGGCGAGGTGGCGAGGTGGCGAGGTGGCGAGGTGGCGAGGNGTGCAGAGTGCAGAGTGCAGAGTGCAGAGTGCAGAGTGCAGAGTGCAGAGTGCAGAGTGCAGAGTGCAGATGCAGAGTGCAGAGTGGAGAGTAGCTAGTGGAGAGTAAAGAGTGGAGAGTGGAGAGTGGAGAGTGGAGAGTGGAGAAGGCAGAGCGCAGAGTGCAGAGTGCAGAGTGCAGAGTGCAGAGTGGAGAGTGGAAAGTGGAGAGTGGTGAGTGGAGATTGGAGAATGGAGACTGGTGAGTTGTGAGTTGTGAGTGGAGAGTGGAGAGTGGCGAGTGGCGAGCGGAGAGTGGAGAGTGCAAAGGGGAGAGTGCGGAGGGAAGAGTGGAGAGTGGAGAGTATAGAGTGGAGAGTAGAGAGTGGAGAATGGCGAGTGGAGAGCGGAGAGCGGAGAGTGGAGAGTGGAGAGTGGAGAGTGGAGAGTGGAGGGTGGTGAGTGGAGGGTGGTGAGTGAAGAGTGGAGAGTGAAGAGTGGTAAGCGGAGAGTGGAGAGTGGAAAGCAGAGAGTGGAGAGTGGTGAGTGGTGGTTGGAGAGTGGAGAGTGGAGAGTGGTGAGTGGCGAGTGGAGAGTGGAGAGTGGAGAGTGGTGAATGGAGAGTGGAGAGTGGAGAGTGGAGAGTGGAGAGTGAAGAGTGGAGAGTGGCGAGTGGCGAGTGTTGAGTGGAGAGTGGAGAGTGGATAGTGGATAGTGGAGAGTGGAGAGTGGCGAGTGGAGAGTGGAGAGTGGTGAGCGGACAGTGGAGAGTGGAGAGTGGAGAGTGGAGAGTGGAGAGTGGTGAGTGGTGAGTGGAGAG